ACTCACAAACCACGTGAAGTTCCGAGCTCCGACCCTGTCGGTGTTTCGGCTCAGGTTCCCGTGGATTCCTTCGGGTTGGGTTCCTGGTCACCGTTCATGCTGTCCGGTTCCATCACTGTCGGTGTCACGAACGTGGATGAGACCTACTTGCTGCTGAAATACTCCGTGGGGTGAAAATACCTCTGTTACTGGGGTTGTGCTGAAAGAAACCCTGAATCGAAGTCATTGCTAATGTGGGGTTTCCCGAGGTTAAGGGCAAGAATCAGAAACACGGGTGCCATCACTACAGGGATGGTAAGTTCAGGCCCATTTTCAGTTCTTCAGATGTCTGAGGACCGTGTGCCGTGTGCGGTTCATACCTTGAAGCTGGAGCTGCAACAAAGAATTGTCCCTAACTTAAGGCATACATCAGAAACAAACTTCAGAAACTAAAAGGTTTATGCCAAAATCTCAGCTCCTCCACACCTCAAAACACCCTCCTTATAGTCCTTCACCGCCTTCACCCGGATCAAAAAACACCTCAAAACACATGAGTCGTCGCCTCCCCGGTCGTCATGGTCGACCGACCCCGTCGAGACGCTGCTGAAAACACCACGCCGAAGCCGTCGCTCCGTCCACTCGCCTGCTTACGCGCGGCCTTGGCCGCCAAGTCCTCGCGGCCTTTGTTTCCGCCAGACTTCCTCGGTTGGGTCAAAAGAAAGAGACACGAGGAGCTCCAAGATCTATATACAAGGGGCTAAATATAGCAAAGGAAAAGATCTTCCAGATCCATCTTTTTGAGGAAAAAGAAAGGGCTACAGCTGTGCCCTTACTTGAAGCCAATACTACTTGTAGCCTAGATGGAATTGACCCTGGCGACCTGGGACCCATTGTTCGATGTGCGACCCGGAGAGCGATCGGCTCGCAGTTCGGATGCCTGGCCTCGCTCGCGTCGCGCGGCAAAAACGACGTCCGCCTCTTATCACGTTCAGTTGGGGTGGTGGTTTCGGGGGGTGAATGTATATAGGCAAGTATATGGCAGTCCCATGGAGCGTGTGGGTTAGGCCAATCCAGGGAAATCAGTCGTAGCTTCGTGTCACGAAAGGTGATGTGTAATTAGGTGCCCTTCCACGTCGGGTCCCGTCCGTACCGAACTTACTGCTGAGGTTTCGGTCTACTTGCCAATCATCTCACCTCTCATCAATCCATGCTGTTTCGGCTCTCCAGCTCTCAGCGACCAAGGCTCTGAGCCGTCATCTTGGTACGAGCCATGTTTGGGACGAAAAGCCTCGGACCGGTCACCAGAAGGCAGCATGGACCGTGAAGGTGCACATGGACGGATGGTCACTGGGAGATCAGGGGACGACACAGTTGGAAGAGTTGGGAATCTGGAACTGCCAAGTTAGGCGAATGATTTGCAAACTCTACGGAGTCTTTTTTTAAGGGAAATCCTATTAGATAATATATCTATCAGTCAGAGAATATACTATATAGTGAGCAGCTGACTCACTTTGCAACTTCTTAAGTAACCGCTGGAGTGGTCATGTACATGCAGGCTATTCTTGTGTCCACAGCCTTTTCATACTAAAAATCCAGCCCCTGCTCGGTTCCAACCCAAACAGCTCGACCAACCAGCTGGGCCACCCTTGCTTCCACCGGCTGAGCGCGCACGGTGACGGTGATGGGCCGCGGCGGCGCGTGGCGGGCGTGACGCGGCTGCGGCGGAGAGGTCTTCGGTCGTGTTTGGGCGAACGCGACGCGGCGCGGAAGAGGTGGAAGGCCTGCCAACTGCAACCGTTCTTATCTGGGTCATCCTGTCTGGGTGTCCAATATAGACTACCTACCCTCCACTGCTTATGGACCTCCAGGCAGGACACCCAGACAGGATGAGAAGAAATAAGGTTCAGGGCTTCGACGGAGCAAAGGAAGTTCTTTTTTTCTGGCTGGGATGATCTATTCCAGCACCTCGAAAGGGGTCACCTGGCTGGAAGCCCCAGCCCACTACTACTTCAGGACCATTCCAAACCTGCGCGTTCACTGGACTACCCTCCACTACTATCCGGGATCTCCAGATACAGGACACCCAGGTCTTGGATGGTCCAGGTATGGAACCCCTATCTTTTCAGGACATCTTGGGGATCTGTGCCATCCCTCGCCTCTCGGTTTCTAGATCGGGTCGATGGTCAGGGGTACATCTTCTTCGTCAAGCACGGCGGGTGATGGATTTGATGGATTTCTCACGGCTTTCTTTCAGGTGACCCCGCCATTTTGAGAGGTTGTGGGTTTCTGAAATCATGGAAACCTCTAAAGACTCTTCACCTCACTTCACCTGATCCTGATAGCCATCCCGGAAAATTGATCTGTCTTGGCGTGATTCAAAAGGTTTCAAAGACATCAACAATCCTTTGTCAGGTGCATGATCACATGGTAGTTCCGCCATGATTCTTCCACAATGCTTTTGTCTTGTTATTGGGTTGCGGAATTCTGCACACTTCTTTCGCATGGCTCCCCAAGTGCTGCCGTTATAATGCCGTTCCTTGGCGTTGTCTCAGCGAACCGACAGCTGGGCGCCATTCCTTAGGAGCTACGTTCGTAGCGTGCTCCGTTCGTAGCGATGCCCTTTGTCACGTCCGTAGCTTCTTGTTACTAGTAGTAATGCCAGGAGCTACTAGTAGCTACTAGTAGCGTCCATGCTCCTACTAGCTCTGGGTTCAAAGCCATGGACTCTCTTCATCCCGCCCTGGAGCTTCCTAGTACACGTAGATATACATGATGTTCCATCTGCAAGAACATCAATAGCAAGAACCCCCCAAACAACGACCCTCCAGAGAAATTCTAAGGATTACTTGAGGCCAGGGGGGGTGAACGAAAGCTAGCCCGGCTAGCTGCGAAGCAAGAGCGACTCCAACTAGCTGAGGCTAGCTTTCGTAATTATTGAGCATTCATCAAGATTCAATCAGACTTGCCGCGTCTGCTCACCAAAGAAGACTCCCCACAAACCCAGCCCTGCGAAGGGGTCCACAGGGAGTCCGCGCGCCACTTCCCTCCCCCTTTTCTGGAGCAAGCTCGTTGTAAGGTCGGCTCCAGTTCTCAAGTTGCATCCAATTGGCGGATCACCCCTGGCACCCTGTGAAACGTGACATCACGTGACGTTTCCCCTTCTTTGGTTTGGGATCATCCCAGCCCGAAATGACGCCCTTCAGACCATGATGAAAGCAAAAACAAAGAGGGATGGAGAGGGAAAGGATCATTGGCCATGTTCAATGACCAATCTCTTTATGGATGCGTCCAAACGAATCCAAAACATGCCCAGGGCCCATGCCCAGTCGCAGACAAAAGAAAAACTTCGTTGGGGACTTATAACCTGAGGCATCATATATATGTTATATTAGGTCATTAGGTAGTATACTTATGCATTTTATGGGATTCAGTGCTTCCAATAGTACAGAAACCTCAACCCAAACCACCGAAATTGGCTGGTCCATGAGACCTTACCAACCAAAAAGAGACCTTTGGGGACTAGGACCTCTTTGCCTCATGTCTGCGCAAGAAATCGAGTGAGATTCTCAGTTCTCCTGCCCCAAAAAGTGAAGTGTGTCATCTGGAGACATCAGATGGTGTGATCATGTCTGATCCATCTAACATGTTCCATAGGCCGCTAGTAGGTTGGAGGCCAGCGCTAGGAGGCCATCGTTATTAGGTTCCTTAATGTTCTTTAAAGAGTCTTTTTTCGATATGTTCACACTATGAGATGAACGTCCCATCTGCATCCATCTGCGTCTGTCGCGGAGCTTCATGGTGCTTCGGGCTTCTGAATGTGTTCTCTTGAAGAGCATAGGATGCCAGGTGATGTTCAAAGTAGGAAGACCAACTGGAGACGCCTGGGACAGCTCAACTGGCGCAACATCTAGACTCCTCCATCATCCAATCTGGCAAGGGAGCATGAGCTGCTTGATGGGGGGTCCAATCTGAACTGAATCCCCATCCAGCCTGGATCACCCTCTAGCAACTGTCCAACCATGTTCACATTCACCAACATCAGCATCCTGCCACCACCTGCCTTTCACCCAAAGAGATCAACCCACAGAACTGTGAATTGCGCTCCAGAAAGCCGATTCGGCGTCCACATGAGCCTTCAAGGGACACCTCAGGGTATTCCTAACTTCAAAGAACCCCCGTACCGCGTCGGGACCGATGACCGTGACAGCTCATTACCGAGTCCAGTCTTGACAGTTCCATGACCGAAAAAGCCTCGTTGGAGCCGACATGTTCAGTGGCATTCGGCAGGGCTTTGGTCCCTTTCTCCTCCCATTCAAAGAGTCTTCAACTAGGAGCATTTCGGGCATCGCTACTAATCAGGAGCGATCGGACGCTACCTTCGAGGCTCCTGGCATCGCTACTAGTAACAAGAAGCTACTAGGAACAAGTGCATCGCTTCTAGTAACAAGTGCCTTACTACTAGTAACAAGAAGCTACTAGGAACAGCAACCGTCATCGAAGGCTTCGGACTGAGAGTCCCAGATCGCCGCCGCTCTCGCGCCGACCCCACACGCGAGTGGTTCTCCCCCGTTCGGATTCGCCAGAGACCGCCAGAGCGGAAAGGGTTCTCACTGGAAAGGGTCACCATCACACTCAGTTGATGTCCATGCATCATGGTTTCAGTATGTCTATTTGGCCCACCGAATGAAGTGCTGAACATCACCCCAAAAAAGGAGGATGTGCCGTTTTCCGTTTCTGCCATGTTCTGCCACCAAGCATCAACATCTCACGTCAAAGAACACAGATATTGAACATTTCACGACCCTGAACCATGAAAGACCAGGTGACATGCCCGTGTTTTGGGCCAAATCAGCCAATGAAAGGACTGCGGACCTTTTCACCCCCAAACCAGCCAACCAAACCGCAGCATCCAACCAGCATGTCTGCTCGCGACCCACCCTCTCAGCCGCGGCCCGGCGAATCTCGCGAACGAGCCCCCCCATCGCCCCAGCGAACTTTCGCTCGTGGGACGAGATCGTCTCTCAGGTGCGCTCTCCCCGCAGGCGCCGTGCCAGCTGCACATCCTCCGCGGAGGACGTCGCGTCGGTGGGTGCCAAGTAGAGTGTGAAAGGAAACGCGCGAAGCAGGTCAGTTGGACAGTTGGACCTCATTTTCCTGGAGTTGGTCATACAAAAACATAACTCAAGGAAGTAAAATACCAGGTTTTACTGGGTCTTTGGACTTGTAGTGAAAGATTTTGAGTTCCCATCCAGTGAGTAAATAAGACGTTACCCTTTTCATGACGTTTTCCATCCCAACAGGTCCGAGAAAAAAGAACACGATTGCCAGGAGGTTCACCAGGCGATCTTCATGATTTCCGGGGTACCTGCTTCCTGGACCACCCGCTGGATTCGACTACTCAGAGATGTCCAAATTGGTGTAGTTTTGATGTCGTCTGAAAGTGGAAGCCTGATCCTGGGAGCCCAAAGCTGACTGGTGCGACTCGTAGGGAATAAGGGAAGTTTCGCCCCCAATAGAGATTCTATTGGATCCAGCCACCCTCAGCCACCTTCTTTCGTCGCACCAGTCAGAAGTCGTGTAATCCTCCGATAGGTCGCCGATCCAACGAGCTAACACTTTGGAAGGAACGTCTTAGCTGGTTTTGAGTTCTGGGCTGCTACAGTCAATCAACTGAAGCTGAGAATTAGATCCACCTGAGCAAACATACTCGCCAACATGTCGAATGATTCAACCATCCAATGGATAGTACAACAGTCTGGCAGAAGGAATAGCTCAAAACAGCAAACCATCCATTGAATATCGAACAACCTGGACCCACCCTGAACTCGCTGGACCTACCTTGATGCCAACATGTCCTCCAACCAACATGGAACAGGTGACAGTGATTTCAAGTGCAGTAGCCATTCCATGAAGGCCAAAGGTGCCAAAGTCAAAAAGTGAACGAGATCTCAAGATGGCACCAGGTTCCAGAACCCCAGTCATTGGTGGGATGGTCCTTCCAACCAATAAAATCCAATGATTGGCCACTTTCACAATGACACTCCCGAACTCTTCCTGAGTCTGAGGAAAACAGCTGTTCCGCTGTGACGTGTTGGGCCCTGCCTTGGGCATGATCGTGACGCGTTTTGCGTGGATTGCACAGAGGTTGGTGTCCTGGCCAGGCGTTCCGAACTCGCGTCCGTTCACGGACGAGCGCTGTGGATTTGTGCCAGACTGACGAGTGATGTCTAGCATTTCGCCTGAGAGAGAGAGAGAGACACAGGAAGAGTGTAGAATACTTAACTCTTGAGGGCCTATAACCTCCCCCAATTGAATTGAACAATTAGAATGCTTTGAAGGATTCCAGGATGTCTTATGGGATGTACATCGTCTGTTGCCCAAGGGTATACCAAGATGAACAGCTATGAACAGAACAGCCTGTTCTTGTCACCAACCACACCCTTTGAACGACTCGTCCCCGTGCCACGTCGGAGCATCTAGTCCTGCATAAACCTCAAACCATATGCTGTTTGCTGAGCAGCTCGCAACAAACCGGTGGCTCTTCCACCTCCACTTCGTTTCTTCTCGTTCCAATCCTTGGACTTTTTTGGGGGGAGGAACCAGGTAGTAGACTCAGGCCTTCCACCCTTTTGCACCCTTTTGGACCACTCAATCAACACATCATCCACTCCCCCATTTTGGACCAAATCCATTCTCACACATCCTCGTCCCAAGCGGCCAGGTCCATCCCTTTGGATCCCACGCGCGTTCATCCCACGCATCGCCGCGCCCGCCTCGAAGAGACCCACCAAATACGCCTCGGCCGCCTCCTGCAAGGCCAGGATCGCCTTAAAACGCACGGCCGGGCGTTAGCGCGGCAAGCGTCGGCTAGCGGGCGGGCGTGCGCGGCCAGGCGTAAGCGCGGGCATCAGCGGAGATCGTTCGCCCACGGAAGTGGATGATCTCAAGAAGAAAGAGCTTCCTGAAGTCACTTCGTGACTAAAAACCACCCCGAGCTTGGTGACTCCTGGCTGAAGTGTCTATTTTTTACAATGTGGATCAGAAGAACGTTCCTTCAGTTGGGGATCACATGGGTGTCTGGCATGGGCCTAGCGAACTTGAGGAGATCCATCCTGGCCGTTCTTGTGCATATGGGGCCTCATATGAAGCCAACACCCATGGTTCGAGGCCACAAATAGATCATAATAGATCGCTACTTGAACACCTACCACGCCTCAATGCAACACCTGCTTACACTACGAAAGCCCTACGCCTGCGTGTGTTGTCTTGCCTGAACAAATAACGTATAGCTGGATGTCTATACGATCCAAAGCAATAGGATTCTCAAATCAAAGAGCTGGGTCTTGTTCCGCTTGTTCTCACACAGCTTGGCATCTGATCCCCCAAACGGTTCGGGTTCGCACCTGTCTTTCGGGTTGCCGCATGCCCAACATCACTTCTTGGACCTTGAGAACATGTTAGATGTATAGCAATATAGCATGTATGGCCTCAATCCATTGCTTGCTGTTGGACCCAAATAGCTACCCTCTACCCTCTAGCTCCGAAACAAGAAGCCTGAAACACACCAAATCGGTCTCGCCTGGGATTGGAAGCGCAATTCCGTCTTCACTTCCTGCAGGGCTCAGGTGTTGCAGAAGGTGTATAAGCAGTGCCCGAAGCGTGCCCCAAAAAATCCCGTCCTGAACAAGGAGTTCCACTATACGGGACATGCGTTGGACAGGATTGGAGCAAATGTTTGGGACTATTAAGTGATCTTCTCAGTTGATGTTTGATCAAACTCCTTTTGATATATTTTGAAACAAGTTTCATGTGATGCTCTGCCAGATCAGCCAAATGTTCTGCAACTTGGAGTTGGGAAAACTTGAGTTTCCCAGCTTCAAGCTGTCCATCGGGGGCATCCCTGCAATCTGAACCACTTAAGCTCAGAAACCCCTGTAGATTGGAAGGGTGGATCCTTTTTTGGGCATGGATCAAAACTACTCGAAAATACGGCTGCAGTATCATTCGTGGGTGGGTGTCTTCGGCAGAATGAGCCAAGTCCAATATATAAATCCATGACTTAAGTGGGAGTTGAAGGGAGAATGTTCGAATCAAGAAAGGATGCGAAGCAGAGCGAAGATATCAGTATCATTTCTAGGGGAGCGGAAACCTGGACATCTCTGTGCACATCCTCGTCCGCCTGCTCCTTTTCTACCGATCTGGGCCTGCAAAAAGCCACATGGTCCAGGAGACAGCCACGCTCAGCCGCTTTTTGTCGCGTCGCCCGTCGCTCCCGTGGCGGTCTGATCGCTTCGCCCCCGTCGGCGAGCCCGTCTTCCACGGCACTCGCCAGTCTTCGAGACAGCTGGGATGATCGAGATCTACAGCCATCTTCAGTCCAGTTCCAGTCAATGAAACAGTTTTCGTGCAACATCTTGCAACCAGCCCAGGTCCCAAAGGCACAGAGATGTTTGTGGCAGTGGCAGTCGGAAGCTGCCCACTTCGCATCTCCTACTTAGTGGATAGCTCCCTGCCCACCTCCTCGAACCTCCACATCTCACACGTCAGCTCCACATCTCACACGCGACTCCTCCACCACCCTCCGGGCCGGGCCAAACGGCCCACCGGCGAAGGCTCTGCTCGGCAGGAGCGCGAAGACCTTCGGCCGCACGGCGCCCAGCAGCTCCGGGCTGGGCGTCCTCCGGAGCGGAGCCGGAGCGCGACGAGGGAGCCGGACGAGACCGAACGGAACGGTGCAAGGAGTCTCCTGGAGTTGGAAACGAGGATCCACTCGTGGTAGTGATGAATATCAACCAGAAAGTTCTAGACCTATACTACTTGGAGGGTTTTAGGCATGTTTCTTTAGGGGGGTTCGATGGATCAGCAGTCTATACATCAAGTTGGTGAGTGAAACTCATCTTGTCCGTTGCCTGATCAAGGACTGTCTGCTGACGGAAGACTACGTCCTGACGTCGTCCAGGTGCTCCGAAAACATGGCGGTCCTTCCCCGATTTCTGGACGTCTTGGATGACTTGCTATACGAAAATGTCATGAAACAGGCCAGCAAAAGTTGCGACACTCAGTTGCAAGTGATGGGGGCTTTCTTTAGATTCAACTAGATTCAGTAATAGGAACATCTATATATCTTCCATTCGCCACCAAATGTACACCCCCCACAGTGGACACTGGATAGTTCTATAGATCTAAGTACTAAGACCAAAAAAGCACCAGTTCCGAGTCCGAGTTAGGGTAGTTCATAGATCTAAGAAATTGGGCGATGAGAACCTCTTGTTGTTCTTTCATTGACCACCAAATGGACCCAGCCAAAATCATGAACATGACCGGGCAACTGCCAGAAGGAAACATGAAAGAGACATATTTTTCAGCTTAAGCTGATAGTTCGCAATCTCATCAAAGTGAATTTCTATGAACTTCTAACTTCTATATATATATATGAAATATTTTACATAATTCAGTACTCTACGTGCCTTCACAAACTCGACCTCTTTTGCCTTTTGGCCTCCCAAAGTGTTCAATCTGCACGCCTCCCTTTTCAACCTTCCCCTTTGTCCCCCCCATCCCTCGTTGTCCGTGCGTCTTCTCTTCGATCGATCAGACCAAGGCTCGCTTGCAAGGCTTTCTGGAAGGAGCTGATGACCAAGCTGTAGGTCGTGGGATCGGGCCTCGGCTTTGGGGATTTGTTCGAGACCCAAACGCGTGATGCCTATAAACAAAATATGGACATGTTTGCCGTTGTGTGCCAATTCCATTGTTAATGATGTTATAGTATATATTATCTATAGATATGATATAGATAATAGAGATGTTGGTCTGTCAATACCTTTTTTGAAGATGTGATGACTTAACAAGTGCCTCTTGATCTTGGGGGCATTGCCTATAAAGGGAGTGGCCACTCTTCCGATATAAAGAACGCCCAAGTAACTGGAGCAACTGAGCTTCCGCCGTTCGCAACAGCTGGGCACACGCCTCGTGGTGTCGGGCAGCTGTTTCCAGACCAGACGCATGGGACTGACATATATGCCAACCTTGGGGTGGTTTGGGAGGTCAATGTAGGCATATATTCCATACTTGGATGGTCTGGGGTTGGGTGGTCATGTTTAACTGGCCAAAAGCAGGTTGAAGAACTGACTCTGGTTCCCAACCACTCTGGACAAGCTTCAGTGCTGTAGTAAAGGTGTGCCTTAAAGGAGATGTTTGTTGTTGCGAGGCTTTTCTCATGTGTGGCCTTCCCTCTCGTCGTGCTTTCAGAGATCGTGAGGGACTTCATATAGATGTTTCAGGAGATCAGGCTGATCAGTCCACTCCACTCGCATGTCACAACAAATCTGCACCGAATGAGGCCGCTGGGTCACGTTCACCTGGTCCTGTTCGCCTCCACAAGCTGGCCACAAGAACCACCCAAACTATTTGTTGCTCATGAAAACAAACAGGAACCCTCACCGCACGACACCCAGGGCCAGGTCGGATCGTTCTAAGCACATGGTGAGCACATGAGATTTCCTCTGGGTCTATCAACCACCCTTTCTCTAAATTGCTGTTCACATCTTCTTTTGGGGTCTTTTGGGGCTTTTGACCACTGCCTGGCCTTTTGCTTCTCGCACTTGCTTTACCATTCAACAGCGACATTCAGCGACCTCCATTCCTTGGGATCTGGCCGTCATCACCGCCACCGCCCCGGCCCACGCACGCCGCCCCTCCGGAGTTCCGGTCGCCTGCCACCGCGTGCGGCGTGCGCAGGCGTCCGCGCAACTGCCGAGGCCGATCGCCGTGGGAGCGACGGCGCCGTGGAAGAGCAGCAGCGCCTGGGACGGCAGGACGGCGTCGGCGCGGCGTTCGGACGTCGTCCGTTGGATGCGCCGTTGGTGGATGATGGGATGGTGAACGCGCCATGGTTCTCTCTTTCGGGTTGGTATAGGTGCTTGTGGGAAAAAGACAGGGTCAGAGACCTTTCCGTGCCCAATTCAAAGAAGTCCACATTTTGACACATGCCTTTTTCCATGTTTTCGGCTTTCAAAAAGACCTTCTTTCGAGTGACCACAACAGTGACTCCAGCGACCCTTGCTGGCGAAAGCGGAGCGAATTGACCGACCGCCGAAACGGGCGCACCCTCTGCCACTGTGCCGCTGACGCCAACGCGCTCAAGGCGGCATTGATGGCAGTGCTGCTCACCTGCTCATCTTCTCCAGCATGTGGGAGGTTGAATACATCCCATAAAGCAAATATGGCAATATGGATCACAAATGCTCAAACTTGGAGGTGGATATGTCCTCTATTTTCCTTTTGTTGAGGAGTTTGGGATGAACCAAGGAAATAGTTAGTGTATGTTGAACATAGGTACTGCTGGTTGTACACATGTCTGCACAAAGTGTTCAGTGAACACATGTGAACACCATTCTCTTCTGAGAAAATGGCCCTAGTTCGTTGCAAGGCGAGACCGAACCACATTGCGTTGAACCCGCACGAACGTGTCGCCTCCTGTGTCACTTCCTCTGCCATCTGCAACAGCTGAAGACTGCCTCCAAGCACTGCAGCCGCCGCCGTAGCTCATCGTCCCCCCCGTGGGGTATCCCGGAGCCAGCATGATATATCGAACAGCCACGCGTGGGAAAAAAGCGCCCCAAATTCCAACAGATTCCGAGTTCTTCATTGAAAAAGCCCTGTGGATCGTATGGCACCTCCCCCGCTTGCAAACAGCCAAACAGCCATTCGTGCTTGGTGATGGTCAGAAAGCACGTGGAAACGCACCTGGTGAGTTCCGTCCACGTGGTCGCGTCAACGCGCGTCCCTTTCTCGGGGAGTTCGGACCGTTTGCGCCAACTGCTCCATGTCACAGGGCCCCGGAAGTCATGGGGTCCGGCCGGTCCTGCCTTCCCAGCGGTTGTTGTTTGCGGGTTTGCTCAGTCACTGGGTCCCTTCCCCCAAATCCCCGCCTTCCCAACAAATCCCCTTCTGACAGGCGCTGATGGCAGCTCCACAGGTCACCACCGTCGCTTGCAGCGACGGGTTCTGCTGCAAGTCGCTCAGCAACTGCAGCGCCAGCCTAGTGGCCGAAGTCAGGTGAAAAACGAGTGCCAATGCTATGGCCTTTTTAGGAGCCTTCATTTTTCCTTGATAAATAAGGAAGAGCGGATTTCACATACTAGAAAAAAAGGAACACTATCAGGTTTTCCTGCAATCCGTCTAGAACAGTCCCATGACTCTGGCTGTGTATAGTTGGCGATCTAAGATCTAGTCGTGAATGCTTGGGAGGTACCTCATCTGAACTACTCCAGTTCTCCCCCAGTTCAAACATCGAGCTGTGCATCTGAACTCCCACGGTGTACTCCTTGTGAATCCATCAAGTGACCCTGGAACTTGGGGAGTCCAAACAGGGTCTTTTCCGATCAAAACAAAGGTCATCAATGAGTCAACTCTGGGTTCTAGGTAGCAAACAGTCGTTGGCGAACCTGCTTGGGCCTGTAATGATGGGCGGCCACAGTCGTTGGCTACCCCGAACAAGCCCATTCCATCCGTTGCGCGCGCCTCCACTGAACTCCCTTTTCGCAGGCGCTGATGGCTGCATTGTAGCCTCTGTTCGACTCTGAAAGAGATGGGAATCCTGGACTATCCTAGACCTGGGTGTCCTGTCGATCCCTCAGTAGTTCAGGGTATCCATTGAACACCCAGACGGGGATGGTTTTGCTATGTTTAGAACGGTTCGCCGCAATCCTCTCACCTGGGTCTTGGTTTCATGTCGCTTTCACACCTGCAAGGCTAGATTATGTGAAAAGTGTGTTGGCTGTGCTGGCATTTGCCAGGACCTGGGGTTTCATTTCCTATACCCAGATCTATACCCAGAAAGTTGGAGAGGTCTACCCTTGAATCTCTTGAAAGACCAAGCCGCTAGGACTGGGTCATTCAAGGAGAAGAGTAGAACCATGTGAGCTGAAACTCCCAGCTGTTACCGAAGAAAGTGAGGTGTGTCTGCATCTGTGTCTGGCCCTTAAGGTTGCAAACATAGCTGGAACGCCACCCTGATCAGTCGCCCTGGTCACGTCAGACCGCCTCCCCCCCCCTCTCCTTCTCCCAGGCACTGGTCACGTCCATACGGTCCTCTTCGACTAACTGGCTCAGCAGCAGCAAGGCCACCTGCCACTGGCCCGCTTTCTCGCAGGCGCTGATCACCGCGTTGACCCTCGGCACGGCGAAGAAGCGCGAAGAAGCGCGATTCGGAAGCAACTGATGTTGGAACCTGGGTTCGGTCGTGGCTGGTTTGGAAGCTCCTGATCATGGTCTCATGTGTTGCAAGGAGTTATTCCCACAAAATCTAAAGAGAAAGCAAAAAAGCCTTGCAGAAAGCCTGACCAAAAAGAATGGCAACGTGTTATAAACGTGTTGTTGCTCAGGGTGATCTCGGAACAGGCGTCTCTTCTTCGGCGCGCAGCTTGCGGCCCTTCGGATCGTCCGAGGTCTCTCGCGGCGATCGAGTTCGAGTTCGAGCGAATTGGTTGGGATGGATGGCCGCCGTCCTAAGCAGTTAGAGAGTTGGGTGATCCCATCTTTCAAAACATAGAAACACCATGAAACACCATGAAACACCAACATACAAAGCTGTGATATCCTGTGGTACTCTGTGTTGGAAGCTTCATCATCGAAATATCTCGAAGGATAGCTCGATCGGAAGGTGCTGTTCAAGAGGGGGGGCGATGTTGATTGGTTCATATTCGCAGCTCGAAGGCTTTTGACCAATGCCCTGCAGCCTTATAAATTGGACCAACCATGACCAACCCAATACCGAGTACTGATTTCCACTTGGGGTTGACCCGAGAAACCCCGTCCCAAGCAGAAAGAGTTCTATACCAGGAGTCACAAGACGGGGTGGTGTGACTCGTCCCATCCAGGGCTCAAGTGGATGTGTCGTGGATGTGACAGGAGCACCCAACTCCTACCTCCAAGTTGGGCATCCCTTTGGAACTGTTGGTAGATGTTCCAATATGGCTTGCTTGAACGTTCGCCCCCGATACTACGCCTCCGGCCTTTTCACGACGCATCCCTTTCCCGGTCAACCGGTCCACCGATTCGGGAATGCTTCGAAACCGACCCTCAGAGCCCTTGCAGAGTCGGGTCCAGGAGCATCATTTTGGGGTCGAAATGGCAGGCCCCACAGTCCCAGCCAAAAGCCTGGTTCTCCCTAGCCAAAACCATCGTGTTTGTATGTGAAAACCTCTATGTTTCATGGTTTTGAGGGCCCCTGCTTTCCGGTTTTCCCAGGGAAACAAAGACAACCCTTCAATCCTTCCCTTCCCTTCGACCAAGCGGCGCAGGAACGGTGGAGAGCTGAACGCACATCCGTTCCTGAAGCGCTGACTGACAACAGTACCCCTAGGCTTCCAACAACCATTAATTTAATAGGCTTTGTGGAATCAACTAAGGATTTTACACTACAAAAACCAGGTCAACCATTTTTTAAGTGGCCTTGGAAGTCTAGGGGTACTGGTTTCGGTGCGGTGCTTTCAGCACTTCAATACAAGCCCGCCGGCCTGCCCTTCTCGGGCTCCAGTCGTACCCTCGTTTCGGTTCGGTGGGGGGGGTGGGTGGGTGCCAGGAGGGTCCAGTCATACCTTTCTGAGGAGGTACGACTGGAGCCGTAGGGAAGGTTGCAAGCAAAACCCTTGGTGAAAATACCCAAGGTCGGATGTTTGCTTCATAGTATACCGTTTGTTTCAGCACTGGTTGGAATACGTGTCGCATTCTTCGTTCGATGACCTGCTTCTTTGCATCATCCACGTCCTCGACATGTTGCCCAACACTTTCGAAAGTGACAGGATCAGGAACAGGATCCAGTCCTGCTCTGGACTGTCATCTGATCTCCGTCATGGACTGTCATCTGATCCTGCTTCTTCGAGGTCTTCGCACCCCAAAAAACACGTCAAGTCGATACCAAACAACTCACTGATTGAATCCTATTGTAGACCGCCCCGGTTTCCTCAGTCTCTTCTCCGCGTTTCCAGCAGTAAACTCATGGGAAGTAGAAAAGTGACCAGTCGCGACAAAGGAGGCATGTTTCCATAGCTTTCGTCACACATGATGCATCACACAAATGCCTTTGCACATATTTGGTGAGTTATTAGCTATTGGTTCTAGTTATGCTTGACTAAACTCACAATAACTCACCAATAAAAGTTCTTGATAACTAACCACATCGTTGCGTCCCGCTCTTCGTCCACGACCTCCGACCTCCGACCTCTGAAGACTCTACGCCCTCTGAGACTCTACGAGCTCCGAAGCGACAGACACCCCTGCTGACGAAGAGCACGGTCTGACGTCGGCCTGTTATAAGGCTTTGTCTAAAGATGGTCATGAACCCCAATGGAGCCAGTTCTGGGGGGAGGGCTGTAGGCTTGGTTTCCACAGGGCTGCTGGTGGTGTCGACATAGGGCTGCGACAGATCCTGGTCCCACCGAATAAGGGCGCTGTCCGTTGCGGTCGCAGCTTCGAAGAGCTTCATGGCTTGCATCCATTCCGCCTCCGGCGTGGGCGAACACAACAGCTGCCAGCTGCCAGCTGCACTGTGCATGCATCGTCCTATGCTAGATATCGAAGGAATGAAGATATGCATGCTCTATACCTGGACCCTCCTGCCGGGGTGCCCTGTCTGGAAGCCTATCGGTAGTGTGGGGTAGTCCATTGGACACCCCGACAGGAGGGTCCTGGTATAGATAGATAGATGTAAGTCAGAAGAAACCCATCCTGGAGTATAGACACTATCGTCCACACTCATGTCCACACCATTCCCTTCCAAATTCCAAGGCAACATTGGATGCAAATGAGAACATCCCCCTCCAAACGACTGGCTTCAGCTTCACATGCTTCTTCACTGGCTTCAGCTTCCTCCAAAAACCGACCCTCAGAAGACACCCACCCTCTCAGGGGGCACTGCCAAGACAGACATAAGACATGTGAACTGCAGAATTTC